AAGCTGGTCAGCTGAGTCTCCAGACCATTTTGCCTACGCGTTCCCGATGTTGGTCCCGTGTTCGCGATTAGGTCATCGCGTTCGCGATGAGTAATTTTGGGTTGAAGCAAGATTGTGTTTCGCGAACGCGAGGATTCTTCCGCATTCGCGAAAAAGGGATTGCTGGGCAATTATAAACATTTTAAATATGAGAGTTTATCCATTTTTATCAAAACTTGAGATATAGATCTCGGGTTTTGAGGAAATTTTGGGAGATTTCCAGAGAAAGCTATTGGGTAATGATTCTTGACTCATTTATGATTATATTCCATTAATCTATAGTTGATTCCATCCTTTAACTTCGGATTTGGGTTGAGAAAATTGGAAAAATAGGAAAAAGTTCTTCAACCAAATTTGAGTTTTGATTGGGAATTTTGATATCGGATTTGGATAATTTTGGTACGAGTGAACTTGTGAGTGAATGGGTGTTCGTATTTTATGACTTTTACCCGATTCTGAGACGTGTGCCTGGGTCGACTTTTTGGGACGATTTTCTAATTTCTTGCTTAAACCTGATTTCATTAATTAGATTAGTTTCTTGTAGTTATACTTATGGTATGTAATTGCTTTTGGCTAGATTTGGGCTATTCGGAGTCGGAAAATCGTGGAAAAGGCATTTTTACTGATTAATTGAGCTTGGTTCGAGGTAAGTGGTTTGCCTAACCTTGTGTGGGAGAAATTCCACTTAGGATTTGGTACTGTTGTGTTATGTGACCACCGTGTACGCGAGTGACGAGTGCTAATTATTGTTAAATCCGGTTTTTACTAAGTAGTAACATGTTTTCATCTTAATTGAGTTATTCCAGCATGTGTAGTAATCCTGTTTAGTCTAATATCGCATGTCTATGTGCTTTAAATGCTTATTTGAACATTGTGCAGCATGCCTAGTTGATTTTCTATTTTTCCTTGATCTATATCAGTCTTAATTGTAGAATTCTTACTGTTAATTACTGTATTTATTAATTTGAGTTGTGTGTTTACTTTTGGGACTACGAGGCGGTACGTCAGGAGATCCCCCTGCACATTTGCGTTTCAGACTACGAGGCGATACCTCGGGAGATCTCCTTGCACATTTACTTTTGAGACCTACGAGGCGGTACCTTGGGAGATCTCCTTGCATATTTACTTTTGGGACTACGATATGGTATCTCGGGAGATCCTTTGCTGTTTTATCCCTGTGTGATGTACTGCTATTTTTATGTGATTTCCTCTTTGTTAAATTCCAGTCTCTTATTACACTGTAATATTTTTCTGTCTTATTTATTATATATACCAGTAGGGCCCTGATCTGACCTCGTCACTACTCGATTGAGGTTAGGCTTGAGACTTACTGGGTACCGTTGTGATGTGCTCATGCTACTCTTCTGCACATGTTTATGTGCAGATCCAGGTACGTCGTATCATCCTCGTCATCAGTGAGCAGTGAGACCTTGGAGACTTCAAGGTATATCTGCCACGTCCGCGGACCTCGGAGTCCCCCTCTAGTCCCTCCTATGTCATTTACCTTTCCGTACTTTTTTTCTTAAACTCTGGTATGTAGAGATACTAGTTTCTTCCGCAGCTTGTGACTTATGATGTTCCGTATTTTAGGAATACTGTGTATACTCGAGTGTTGGTTATTGTACATACCGAGCGGCATTTTTATCAGTTATTTAATTATCTGTTGCAGTTAGTTGTTAAAGTTTTGCTTTCATTTTCGTTATTCCGCAAATGTTAGGCTTACCTAGTCATAGAGACTAGGCGCCGTCACAATATCTCACGGAGGGAGGATTGGGTCGTGACAAATAGCCACGAATAAACAAATCATCACTCAATTATTCAACATTAATTAATATTAATAGTGGTTCCTGAAAATTACTCAACATTAATTAACACTTGGCTGATTTCACTCCGTCAAACAAACCATCACTCAATTACTCTTGAACTCACAACAAATGCATCACAAACACATGTAATAGCATTTTCAGTTCTAATAAAAATATATATCATCGTATAATGTTTGATAACCATTTAATAACGTTAAAAAAAAACTCAAGATTGGACTAGCCACAGAGCAACTCCAATGTCTCAACATACTAATGTCAAGATTATTCATGGCCCTGATTGATTCAGAATTGGAGAGGCCTTCTTTCTTGTTTGTTATGGGCTGAAGAGCTCACAACCCAGTACTCACAGAAGTAAAAATTGTACGGGGCGCCTNAAGGGGAACTAGATTTTGATAAGAGTTGGTATCCAAGTTCTTTGTGCATTTAATCTTTCTCTTTATGATGTTTTTTTCATCTACAGATATTTCTCTACTGGACAAAATGGTGATATATGATAATAAGAAACAACGAGTTGGATGGCTTCCAGTAAACTGCAACAGGCTACTACTACTAGATAAATTACTCATAAGCATGAACAAATACTTTATGACTAAAAATCTCAACGAGAATCACCAAAGTTATAGCAACTATCTAACGAAATATCAATTTGAAGCTAGCTTAGAAATATCAAGCTAGCTTAGAGCAGAAGTTTCCAGTTACAGCACAAAAACTTCAGCTCTAGAGCTGAAGTTTCCCAGTTACAACACAAAAACTTCAGCTCTAGAGCTAAAGTTTCCAGTTACAAAACAAAAACTTCAGCTCTAGAGCTGAACTTCAGGCCCGGCTACTAGAATGCTGAAGTTTTGCGTGATTGCCTTTGCTACTTCAGCCCCATGTGCTGAAGTTATGCGAAAAAGCGGGTACGCTTGCAAATTTTTTTTGCAAAGCGGGCACAAGTTAAAATGTGACACAAAAAACGGGTATAGATGCAAATGCCCCCTCACAGGAGGTCGCAATGGCCCAATTTCTTTTAATACCATATGAGGGGCGAAGTGCACTAGTAGCCACTTTTAAGTCTACTATTTAAAATATATTTATAATTTACAATGTATTTAAAGATTAGCTAATTCTCTTAAACTTCAGGATTAAGTATCCTAAATTTTTGTATCCTATATTTTTGTGCTGCTAATTTGAAAATCAGGACTTAGTGTCCTAAATTTTTGAGTTGTTAATTTGAAATTCAGGGCTAAGTGTCCTCAATTTCAAAACTACTAATTTAAAATTCTGGACATAAAATTCTAATTTGTGGACACAATATTCAAATTTTTAGGATATAGGGTGTGTTTGGTATAACGGAAAATGTTTTCTGTGAAAAATATTTTCATGGAAAACAAGTAGTAATTTTATTCATTTTTCGGTATTTGGTATGCAAATTAAGGAAAATGACTTCTCAAAAGTATTCATAAATAATTTAGATATAATAAACACGAAGCCATAAACTTTCAAACCAACAACCTTCCGGACCCACAAATTTCATAAACTTTCGAACCGCTAAACTTTCAAAACCGCGGAATTTCGAACCCATAAACTTTATAATTTCTAAACCCGTAAACTTCCAAACACATAAACCTCCGAACTCATAATTTGGGAACTTGTAAAATTTTGAGTCTTTAAACCGATAAATAAAAAAATTAAAACTGAAAAATATATTTAAAAGGTGCATGTGGCTCCCATTGATGACAAGATGCGAGAAGCGAGACTCAAATGGTTTGGGCATGTTCATAGGAGAAGCCCAGATGCGCCGGTAAGGAGATGTGAACAGTTGGTTGTGGAGGGCACGAGAAGAGGTAGAAGGCGGCCTTAGAAGTATTGGGGAGAGGTGATCAGGCAGGATATGGCGAGGCTTCAGATTTCCGAGGATATGACACTGGATAAGGAGATGTGGAGGTCGAGTATTAGGGTTGTAGGTTAGGAGGTAGTTTGAGTCTTTCCTTACTTTGTGCCATTGCGAGACCAGTCTGGTAAGATTTTTGTCTTAGATATTTAGTGGCAATGTTGTGTCTTACTATTTCACTTTTCAGCGTAGGAACTATTTACTAGCTATCGCTTTTGCTTTGCATCTTTCTTCTGAATTTCATGTTGTTCCTGTTTTTCATATGATTTCTTTGTTGATACTAATATTGTCTTATTTTTGTCTTTTTGTTTTCTTAAGCCGGGGGTCTTTCAAAAACAGCCTCTCTACTCCTTCGAGGTAGAGGTAAGGTCTGCGTACACACTACCCTCCCCAGACCTCCAATAGTGAGATTTTATTGGGTTGTTGTTGTTATTGTTGTTTTTTTTTTC